AAGAGAGCTTTTACTGTGAAGCACTATTGCTGCTGTCACCTTTGGTCTCTCCTCATACTGATTCCGATATGGATCATTCTACAGAACTGGTTCAAAAGAGCTGAAACCCCTTTTCAGACTTTTAAGTGACTTGGACTTGGAGTAAAATCCTGTTGCCTTGAGTGACACAATATCTTAATTATGTTTATTTTAATAAAATTACAAATTTCATTTTGGCACTAACAAACAATCATAACTGCTTAGGTTTTGACAATTTTAGCTAATTTTGATCAGAATTCAAAGACGGTAGTCGGAATTTTTCGCAATTCTTATTGTTACACACCAATTTTCAGACTTTGCGACACATTCATTTCAAAACAATAAGATCTAACGGCTCACCTTGTGGCTATGAGGGACAGGGATGCATTCTCATTTCATGCTCTAAAATGCAGGGGTATTCTAAAATAAGGCTCCGCCTCCAGACTAAAACCCTTTGAAAACATGGGGCAGCATTTTCTGAATAAATAAAGTGTGATCGATTATGTTAGCATAGATGGATAAGCATCCATCCAAAACCTCTGACTACATTACTCAGGGGTGTGTACAGGTATTTCAGACAAAGCTTTTAACACTGGGCTTCCCCTGCATACAGCTAAGTAATTTATAAGACCTAAGATAGGAGGGAAACTGTCATATCAAAAGGAGAAAATGACCTCTACTACAGCAGCAAGACAATTCCATGCAGCTGTAACACTGAAATACACATTATTTTAGTTATTGGTTTCCTCTTCCTTTCCCTACTATCTGACCTTTGCTGTTATCATAGAAGCTATCATGGTTACTGATGTTATAACATGACTTACTTTAATTTACATAGGTGAGGTTTGTTACAGGACTGGATTGGATTCTTTTTTTCTCTGATATCTGAACCAGCCTTTCTTCTGGTACCCACTGTCAGATCTGTGCCATCTCGACCCGCAAACATAGGAATGTGTGTGTTTGTGTGTATTTGTGGAGTGTACACTCAGGACAGTAACATGATTGTAGGAAAACAGATGTTAGATTCTAGTTTAAGTTGGTTCGCTTACATTAACACTGTCTGAGCCGTCCTTTTAGGAGGCCCTCTGAGAGGCTACTTAGAGTGGTCAGATATTCCCTCTATCAGCTGTGTTTATGAGCCATGTCCTCCCAGCCTACAGCCACACACATTACAGAGAAACAGAGGGAGGGAAGTTTAGTGTTTACAGTAGCAGCTCTCTCTGAGGGCAGCAATCTGCAGGTCTGCTTACAGAAGCACAGCTCTAATGATATTTAGCTGTCTAAGAAACAGCCCATAGGCTGACTCATCCATCTGCCTCTGTTTTAACTGCCATATCAAAGGGCTGCGGGAACACAGGCTCAGAAAAAGAAAGAGGCAGAGAGAGAGAAAGAAAACAAACACACTTTCTCTCTGCTTCCCTTTCCTGATGCCATTTTCTCTTACAGAGGAGTGCAAAGGAAGAATAGGTCTCTATTTCTGTCTGCGTCTCTCCCTCTATCTCTCTCTGCTCCCTCATCTCTATCTCTCTTTCTTTGCCTGTGTATCTCCATCTGTCTCTCTCTCTGCTTCCCCCATTGTTTTCTCCCCACCTCTCTCTCTGTCTTTGTTTGTCTCTTTGTCTCTCTCTATCAATCTCTTGCTTCTTTCTCTGCTTTCCCCTCTCTATCTCTTTCTCTCTATTTCTATCTCTCTCTCTGTCTTTATTTTAGTATTTCTCTTTTTCTCTGTCTCTCTTTGTTTTTATCTATCAATTTTTGTTTATCTATTTTTTTCTAGGTCTCTTTGTCTCACTCCTATTCTCTGTGTATTTTTCTCAGTCTTTATCTGTCTCTTTGTCTCTATTTCTCTATCAATCTCTCTCTCTCTCTCTCTCTCTCTCTCTCCATCTCTGTCTCTCTCTCACTCTCTCTCTCTGTTCTTTTTTCTTCTCTGTCTCTCTCTCTGCATCTCTCCCTCTATCTCTCTGCTTCTCCAGCTCTATCTCTCTCTCTTTGTCTATGTATCTCCCTCTGTCTCTCTCTCTCTGCTTCCCTGTCTTTTTCTTTCCATCTCTCTATCTCTCTGTCTTTGTCTCTCTCGATCAATCTCTCTTTGCCTCCTTCTCTGCTTTCCCCCTCTCTCTATTTCTCCCTCTTCACCTCTATATCTCTCTGTCTTTATCTTTGTCTTAGTACTTCTTTCTTTTTCTCTTTCTCTCTGTCTTTATCTCTCTATCAATTTCTCTGTGTTTTTCTTAGTCTTTATCTGTCTCTTTGTCTCTATTTCTCCATCAATCTCTCTCCCTCTTTCTCTCCCTCTCTCTCCATCTCTCTCTCTCTCTCTCTCTCTCTCTCTCTCTCTCCCTCCATCTCTGTCTATCTCTCTCTCTCAATAGGTGAAGGACGTTCTTCCGTCACTCGTGAGCGGTCTCACTGGTGCGTGAGCAGGGCTGTGTTATGCTCTGAGAGAGCTGGTGGGTTGAATGTGATCTCTGTGAGTGCTGGGATTGGATTAGATTGACTGACTGACAGGAAGGTTAAGTTGATTAGGGGGAGCCTTTAACTCGGCTGTGTCCGTCAGCAGCAGTCTGGGTGATTGATCCGGTTTCAGTGGGTGTGGCTGATGTGTGTTTACAGTGTCGTGCTGTCTGGGAGGGAGCTGAAGCTGAAGAAACTAAGGCAATGTAAAAGGGCGTTTTCAGTATCCCCCTCTCTCCTTCTCTCCTGTACAAATGATCTGTGAGCTGTAAGGAATACTTCAGTTACCACAGACAATCATGTAGACGTGTTCCACAGCACTTAGTTACTGAACAGACAACCTGTTAACTCAGAACGCTGGTGATAGAAATCAACAGGCAGGTGCTTCAGGTGTTCTGAGTCAATGAATTTTCTGTTCTTTTGTAAGCACAGAGACGTTATCGTCTGTAGGGATGGACCATATGCTAACAGATGATACAGACTGAGATGATAGAGGAATACTGGAGTATTCCTTTAACCACGAAGCACTACTGTAAGACTCTCTGGAGAACAGTATCTGTCAAATGTAAATCTATTCCAAATCTATTCGGAATATCACAGATGACTATTTTGTGTCTGTCTTTATCATCACAGTTTCACAGCGCTCATATAGAAATATCAGTGCAGAGAAACGATTGTCTATAGGATTTCACACGTGTCAATTCAGTGTACTGTCTCTCAGACAGTAACTACAGTTACGATCACTGTAGAGAACCTTTACCATAGTCTGATGTACATGAGAGAGAGAGGGAAAGAGAGATAGAAAGGCAGAGAGAGAGACAGAGAAAGAGACAGAGGGAGCGAAAGAGAAATAGAGAAAGACAGAGACAGACAGAGAGAGACAGAGAGAGAAGAAAAAAGGGAAGAGAGAGAGTGAGAGATAAATAGAGATAGAAAGAGTGGGAGAGAAAAAGTGAGAGAGAGAGACAGGGAAGAATAAGGGAAGAGAGAGAGAAAGAGAGAGAAAAAGAGAGAGACAGGGAAGAAAAAGGGAAGAGAGAGAGAGGAGAGAGAAGGAGAGAGAGAGAGAGAGAGAGAGAGAGAGAGAGAGGAAAAAAGGGAAGAGAGAAAGTGAGAGAGGAAAGAGAAAGAGAGACAGAAAAGAGAGAGAGACAGAGAGACAGACAGAGACAAAAAAAGACAGAGATAGAGAGAGGGAAGAAAATGAGGGAGGAGAGAGGGCAAAGAAGAGAGAAAGACAGAAAGAAGACAGACAGACAGAAAAGGTTGAGAGTGACAGAAAGAAATAAAGAGAGAGGGAAGACAGAGAGAGAAAGACAGACAAAAAAAGAGACAGAAAGAAAGAACAAAAGAAAAAAGAGGGAAGAAAGAGAAAGAGAGAAAAAGAGAACATGAAAAAAAGAATAAGAAAGAAAGAGAGAAAGAGAGACAGAGACAAGAGAGACCGAGGCTACAGTGGTCCTCTTCACTGCTTCTAAAGTTGGGCACGCTGAAAGCCTCTCATGGTCACCTTATAATGTGTGTGTGTTCATGTAATTTTCCAAATTGGTTCATATGAGGACAGTGCAGACTCTCGGGGCATGGTGACCGCGCCTGAAGGCCATTAGCTCCAACAATAGACACAGACAGAGCCGCTTCGGAGCCTCAGCTCAGCTCTGAGCTCTGCTGTGACTGCAGCCACCTGCAATAACCACCAACCTCACATCTGCACCTCCACAGGCCTGAGGACATGAAATGAGAGAGAGGGAGAGCGAGCCAGTGTGCGTGTGCGCCCACCAGAGAGAGAGAGAGAGGAAAGGTCAATACTTTCATTTAGTCATCAGGGCGAGCTGTCAGTGATGTGTTTAATGCTCACCAATAAAAGCACCTTCTCAGCCTGGACCGTACATTATCCCCCACTACAGTGGCCGCGGTTAAACATTCATAACATCGACCGACCCACACACACTCACACACACGCAGGTGCGAGAACAACAGATGGTGTTTTCTCTGCTGCCTGAGCAAATTGTACATTTAAAAATCTCCATCAGCACTGCCGCCCCCGCGGGGGGCCGTTCTCACATTGGCAGACCCCTCAAGCTTCAGCTGCGCATAAAGGTGTGTTCCTGTCTCCAGCGAAATTACAGGCCTGGACCGGACAGCGCCACCCCACCTTCTAGACTGCTTTCTGCTGCCACACTCTGATCAATGCCGATCGATCTGGACGAGAACCGCCTGCAGCTTCTAATTCAGTTACAACGGAGCTCCGCTGCCAAGGCTGGGGCCACGTAATGAGGAAGAAATACAAGACCCACACGTCGACCAAACAGACAATGCAGAAAAGACAACATACGATGCAATCTTGAATCCACACTCGCTATGCCTCGCCAACACAGATCAGAATATAATTTCATAAACACTGATTTTATTAGACAACCTTGCCTTTTTGTAGTCTGACTCTTATTGAGTTTGGGAAATCTGCTCATCATTTAGATGGGCTCTGTGCTCTGTTACTTCTGTCTGATCAGACTACAGTAGGCGCTCACCTTTAAAGCCTTGGAGCGGTTGGCCAGCAGATTTTCAATGTTGAGGGCAGCGTTGGCCACCAGCTGCTGAGCGTTGTTCTCTTCCACACTGTAACGTTCCTTGAGATCTTGAAAAGTCTGAAAGAGAGAGAGAGAGAGAGAGAGAGAGTATGTGAATGAATAAAGTCGAAGTCAATTTCTTAACCATTCAAATGTTTTCTTAAAAGTATTGATGCATCTAACATTACTTTTTACGGATTCCAATTTCTTTACAGCCAACATTCTGCACAGGCCACATTTTATGCATTATTTCTATTTCCAGCTCTGTTATATTCAGCAAATAAACAGCTGTGCGTTAAAATGTACAGAATGGGAAAATCAACACAAACGTAATATGACCAGGACGCCCAAACTTTTGCATATGACTGCAGATAACATGATTTGCTCTTTAACAGGCAAACAATTAGTCACCCGTTTAAATAACATGAATCAAACAGAGTGCTACATTAAGAGTAAGAGGTCACTGGCTATTCAGCACAATGAGTCATGTATCATTACGCTATGACATTTAGTGCAGCTATAGCAGCAGCATTCAAATATAGAGGAAGTGCACTTACCTGACTCGTGTTATTTACCACATAAAAACCTCAACACAGACCAACCAAAATCAAAATAATACCTTGCACATTGTTGCAGGCTGTGATATGAGCTCAAATGTGCCACTTCAAATCTTGACCAATTCGTGCATCCCTACTTGAACGTTTGAAACACTGAAGACATTTGGGCTTGAGATCACAAAAGTAATACGAGACAACTGAGCAGATTTCAGCTTTTATTTACAGATATTTACATCTAGATGTGTTAAAGAACTTAGAGCAGTAGTTAGCAGCCCTAGTCCTGGAGATCTTACTTCTTACAGTCTAGTTCAAACTAGGGGTCACATATACTAGTCAACTAATCAACTTGTTGACTTTACTGCTTGGTAATGACCCTTTAAGCTTGATGTTGTCTAGTCACTGATCATGTGATTATGACAGTAACAACACGGATGCCTCAGAGAAGGCAACAGATGAGAAGCCTGGTGATTTTGGGATCCATATCTCCTTTTCCCTGCAGGCTAACAATGCAATCCAGGGCTCGCTGGAAAAGGCAGAGCACATCTCTGATATTGAACATCGTTATCTCAGTTTTCCCAACACTACAATAAAAAGTCATGTGTCATTGGAGAGGAGGCTGCTACAGCTAAGCAACTTCTTCAGAAGTCTTAAAGTTTCTTATTCATTCTCATCCCGTTGAACATTATTGAGAAACTATGCTAAAAACTGCTAATAACAACAAGCACATCAAACTAAGTGACACAGTGAAAAGAAAATAAACTGCCAGTGCAACAGGCAATACTAAAGAATCTCTATACTGAATACTGAATGTAACAGAAAATAACACTGTTATTATTATTGTTAATAATATTAGGCCTCATTCACCAACCATTCTTAAGAAGAAATTTCTTCTTTAATCCCACTTAAGCAGATTTCATGAAGTTTCTGACATCGTACTTAGGCAAGAAGAGAATCTACACACACTCAAGTGCATTAAGGTGTGGACAATGCTGTGAAATTCTTCTTTAAAAACACATCATGAATCTGACATAGACTTTTTCTCAGGACACTTCTCAAGAACAAATTTAAGAAAAAACTTAGGAGCATATTGTTGAATGAGGCCCATAGTTTGTTTTCATGTTTTAATACTGACATTTTTTAATACTGACATAAGGCATTACAAATAGATATTAGAGAATATGATAACTGTAACTGTAGGAGCTAATGTTCAGCCAGTTTTACATTTGAATTCCCGTATAGAGGTTATATCCTCATGAAACTGCCCCTCAATATCTTGTCAGACCACGTTTGCACCCCTACTGTCCAGTCATTCACAAAAAATAAGTTGCGAGTTAATGCAAGATACATACATTACAGAGAATTAAGGGTGAACGACATATCATGGCATATTTCAGTGGCAAGCAAAACTCAGAAATGCCAAATAGCCAATTATTTAGCAGCCAGGGGGTCTTTACTCATCTGATGCTAAACCTCCAGAAGGACGGCAGTCTTTCTTTATTATTTGACGCTTTTCACCGGAGGGCCTCAGTCTTCTTCCTGAGTCATGAGCAAGCCTGATGGAGACCCTCAACATGGCAGCACGAGGAAACCTAAGTGGAGCATCAGCGGAAAGAGCAAAGAGCAGAGGAGCCCTGGGCAAGACCGCCTTCACAGTCGCCATGTGGTTACAGAGCACATGGAAGACACTGCAGCTGAGAGGCATGGCAGTCTACTCTAGCACCTAGGCTTCTGAGAAGTGACTGTGCGGCAAATAAAAGGCACTGATTTCCATTTGGTGTCATTTATGAAATGGCAACGAGTAGCAGAGCAGTAGGGATGGGATGGGTCAGGTGACTTTACCTTAACGAGATGCTCCATGCCACTCTCAGCGTTAATCAGCTGCACGAGGTCCTCCTGTATGTGATCCGCCCATTCCCGAGCCCTGGAGACAAAAACAGCCAATCAGATTCATTCAGGACTGAATGACAGTCTAACATTTTACAGTTACATTTGTTTATCAGACACAACTGACACGACTACAGGTACCTGAACTGGGCGTCTGAAGAGTTTATTGGCTTTAAAAGCTCCCTTACAGAAAGTTATCCTCTGCATGAGACATAGTTCCGTAATAAGATTAAAACATATTATTTTTAAAGAGGCAGATTTTACATTATGCTATGATATTACACTATACAATTATTAAGTATAATGTATGTATAAAAATTCAAAATACACATTTAGGCTCACTAGTCGCTTTGGTTAGTAATTAAAATGTAGTAAATAGTAAATAAAGTAAATAAAATTGTAGTCATCCCAACCAGCTCCTATCACCATCGCTGTAAAGAAAACTGAGTCATTAAGTGTCTTTACATTTCACACATATCTTTTAAACGAGCGAAATGTCATACGAGTTGAAAACCACTGCACTAATGAACAGCTTGTAGATAAAGTGAAACGTTTTTAGCTGATTCAGCTGTTTTTTCTTAAGCATGAGATCCGAGTTTCCGCCTCACAGTCTCCTCTGAAACCACACAGTCCAATTCTGTAAAGCAATCCTCTAATTGTTCAGCATAATATTTCACTGCAAAATGACACTTGGCAAGGCTCCTCACAACACACTCAAACCTGTCCAGAGAAAAATTCGCCACTATTGCAGAAGTTCAGAGGTTTTGGAAGGACTGCTGTGTGGAAGCTTTGGATAACAGGTGCAGTCCGAAGTGTAGCTGGGGTCAGTGGCCGGTTAATGCATGCAGAGAGAGTTGAGTGAGCGAGCAGGAGAGAGGGAGGAGATTAAAACACCTGTTCCACTCTGCTTAATGAACCCTGACTTGCACTTGCTGTTGACTGGCCACCACTCCCAGAGCAGCCACCGGCACTGGAGGGATGCTGCTGGTTATGAGCTGTGATACATTCATATGAACCGTATCCTATTTCTGTCTCGTTATAACATGTAGAAGCGCAACAGCACTGTCAGTTTCATATGATAGGCTCAAATTGCTTTTGCAATCCTCTCAAATGGGGTGTCAACTAGGTGACATAATAATGCAACACTGATACAGATCACAAAAATATGCACTTACTATCCACTTTTTTTATAAGCATGCAGTTAAACTGGTGCCAAGCATGATTAATGATGGTGAATCAACTTTCGCCGACAAAAAAAAAATTAAATATGAAAGCAATACGGTAATGACGGTATTAAGCTCAATCCCATGGTAGGTTAGGTGTTATTAGGTGTCACTGTCACTGTAATGGGTCACTGTATGAGTGTAGCCAACCTGCTGTCATACACAATACCTCATTTATCACTGGTCAGTTTCTGACCACAGAAGTGCTGTTGTCCAGATATTATCGGGGTGGTGGAGCATCCTCAACATAGCGGCGACACTGACATGGTGGTGTCATTAATAAATGTATCAACACAGTGGTGTTGCTGGAGGTTTCAAACACGTCAATGTCACTGCTAGGTTGAGAGTGGCCCACCACCAAAAACATCCAGCCACAAGCGGTTCTATAGTCAGAAACTGACCACAGATAAAGGGCTAGAGGATGACAGAAATTATTCATGGCAACAGATGAGCTACAGTCTCTAATGACCAATCTAATTCTCCAGACTCCGGCATCTGGTCTCAAAGACTTTGGACCTAAAATTTGTGACGTTCACTGACGTGCTCAATGTCATCACGTCAAATCTGCGAGGCCGCAGGGCTGCAAGCACATAAAAAGCACTAACGAGGGGGAGCTTCAGCTCGACAAAGTTCTGCATATTTTCAGATGCATTGTGTACTACTTTATTTGTTTGAAATTTTTACTTTTTACTTACTTATTGTATTTTTTATTTGAAAATCATTACTTCATTCTGTGATTTTTCGCTACACAAGCAAAGTCTGCTGAAGTCTGCATCCCAGGTGGCCTTTCTGGAAGTTTGCAAAAATCTGCATTATCCCCCTTACAGCCGAGATGAATGGCAGAATTAGACAGCCCTGCGGCTTTGAGGACTGCCTCGGTAATGCACACGTTAAGTCTGTATGTCTGCAAATCCGGAAAAGATCAGAGATTTAGATAATAACTAATAACTGGGCATAACTGAACACCAGAACGGTGGAGCTACTTGTAGGTATGAGTATTTCTAATATAGTGGTCTGTGAGTGGTCATGATTTAGCAGCTATTATCCTTTGCAGTTATTTATAGCTTAAACATGAAAATCTGTAACTGTAAAAAGGCAGTCTCAGGGATATACAGAGCTCTTTTTAGTGAGCACTCCACCAAACTGACATTTTAAGCAAAGATATTATAGAAAAATTATTATTACTTCATGATATATAAAAAGTAATAACAATTAAGAACTTACAGGAGCTTTAATATCTCTCCTCAGTTGGAGTAGGGCAGTTGGAGTATTGATGATGAGTGTAAAGCTGCATTTCAAATCATAAAAAAACTGTCTGGCCAGTTGCTGTTTCAAATTCTGAGTATAAGTCTGAGAGTGACGTCAAGACATAAAGCCTGAGGAGCCTCTCTCCAAGGACACACACGTCTCATACTAGCCTGTGTGAAGTGAAGGAGAAATGCTGGATGGGAGGTGAGAGAGGTGTGAAGGGAAAGTGGAGAGTGTAAGGAATTCCACATCTGAACACCTCTGCTGTCACTATCGCTACCAATATCAGTAAGTCACAGACACAGTTTTTCAAGTGACACGGAACACGCAAGAGAAGGCATGAGCCCATAGGAATAAACATCAACCATACACAACCACACACGTTTGTTTACATACAATGTCCTAAGGTCCTCATACACTGACCAGCCACTTCATTAAGTACTCGTTGCATCTACATTCCTTGTCCATTTTATCAGCTCCACTTACTCTACAGGTGCAGTTTTACAATTACAGATTTTACAGAGCAGGTCCTCTGTAAACACTGTGTCCACTCACTGTCCACTCTAATAAACACTCCTACCTTGTTGGTCCACCTTGTAGATGTAAAGTCAGAGAGATCATGTAGATCATAAAGTCAGTAGTTCATCTGCTGCTGCACAATCTGGTCCTTCATCAGCGATCAGTGGTCAGTGGTCTGAGCACACTGCCCACAGGACGCTGTTTGGTTGGATATTTTTGCTTGGTGACACTGAGGGGTTTAAAAACTCCAGCAGCACTGCTGTGTCTGATCCACTCGTACCAGCAGAACACACACTAACACATCGCCACATCAGTGTCACTGAAGTGCTGAGAATGAGCCACCACCCAAATAATACCTGCTCTGTGGTGGTCCTGTGGGGGTCCTGACCACTGAAGAACAGGGTGAAAGGGAGCTAACAAAGTATGCAGAGAAACAGATGAACTGCAGGATAGCTGGACAGGCTGTAATTATAGAACTACAAAGTGCACCTATATGGTAAATGGGGCTGATAAAATGGACAATGAGTGTCGATACAATGTGCAGGTAAAGAAGCAGTAGCTGGGCAGTGTATATTTGTACGTACCTACCCTACAGCATGGTGCAAAAGTCAGAGACCACCCTTTTGTTTATTTTATATATATATATATATACATACAGCAACCAAGAATCAAAAGTATTACAGAAACAAAAGCTGTTATTCTTTTGATACACAAGAGACATTAAAATACAACGTTTGTTCATTTGTTTATAAGTTGTGTCTGAATCTGAACTAGAACACTGAAACTGGCCATCTGAGATGAGTCTAACTTGTAATTGATATTACTTGGACTGAGGGAAGCAGAATATGCAATTAACCTTTAAGACTGAACTTCGGAGATGTAAAAAAATATCTCTGCAGATTTTTTTGAAAAACTGAAAGTAAGTCTCCCAAAAAGAATGGAACCTGTAATAAAGGTAAAAACACTGAAAACTAAACTAAACAGTGAAAAAACATGATATTATATTTATTTGCTGAGGTTGTAATATGCTGTATGTAATAATAACACTCTAAGCCTAACTTTAAGGGGCCTAACCCTAACCTTAATAACCAAAAAGAAACTGTTTTATCCTTTCGGTAAAATAAATAAATACATAAATAAATAAATGGATAAGTGGGCTTTTTATTTAAAAGCACTTTACAAAGTCAGAGGCATTTTGTTAGCCAACATTGTAGGTTAGTCCTGTTTTCCTTGGGTTTTTACTTCAAAATCTTCCATGTTTTCTGAATATTTATGAAAACAAACACACGCAAACAAGCATTCACAATCTCCCAAGTGGAGAATGAACACAATCATGAATGGAGCATAAAGGAAAGTAACAGCTTTGTGCTGGAGGGTGCTGGCCGGGTGCAGTGGCTGAAACCGGACTCTGGCAGTGTTTTTATATTTAAAAACACAGTGTAAGCTGAGAGCTGTTAGCGTGTGGACTGGACGTGTGCGGGGCTGTCTACTTAGCCACAGTGTGAGGCAGCTGCCCGCAGGCCACAGCTAAGTACCGGCCCTATGTCAGCATATTTCTGCCTTATGAAGATATGAAGATAGCAATGTACTGTCTCGCACACATACACACACACACACACACACACACACACACACGTACACACACGCACACACACACACACACACACACACCGTCTGTACAAAGTTCCTTTTCATACATCACAGAAAAGACCTTCTCTTCAGAGCATTACAAAGAGAAGCTGTGCCAGATGTTCTCTCTGTCCAGCAGCGCAGCTCTATTTGTTCTACAGGTAAAAATAGACAGAGCGTGCTAATAAAGGTAAAAGCTAACCCAGTGAAAAATGCAATGTATTTTAATGCCATGCATAGAAAACATAAAATGCACTTGACAATTAATTAGTAACACTTTTGTTCAATCTGCACTCTTGGAAATAAGGTGCCAAAAAAGGTCCTTTGAAGTGATTCCATAGAAGAACCACTTTTGGTCCCCAAAAGAACTTTTCTATTGAATTTTTGCCACTTGAAAGTTTCTTTAAGGACACTGAAA